AAAGCTAAGAAGGACAGGGCATTTCGTGGTGATGCAGTGGTTAGGACTCCAGACTTCCACTGCAGGGGGCCAGATTTCGACCCCTGGTAGCAAAGCTAGATTCCACAAGTCATGTGGCAAGTGGCAAGCACTCAAAAAATAAATAAATAAAATGAATTTTTTAAAAAAGACACTAAGATGGACAATAAGAGAACTGGATAGCAGAATATGAATTCCAGAGATTCTGGCAGATGAAACTCAGCTTGACTTGAACAAGATCAACTCTTCAATTCAGTTCTAGTAGACATTACTGAGAAGCTATGCTGAAAAAGCAGACCATGAATTTCAAACAGGGATGGATTTGGAGCTAGGGCAGAAGTCCATCACAGTAGAAGGGGGGTGAAATATACTGGGTTGGCCCAAAATTTCACACAAGTTTTTCTGTAAGAAGGTATGGAAAAACTCAAATGAAATTTTAGGCCAACCCCCAATATTTCTTTCTGTGGAAGGCAAGGTAGCTACAACATTTTCAGTTCTGCTGGGATAGGAGGAATAGGTATGGGCAGATAGCTTGCATTTTTTTCATTGAATTCATGTTTGTTCCAGGCTAGGATTACACAGAGGACTTCCCCGAAGGCTTAGCAGGTAAGGAATCCACCTGCAGTGCAGGAGACACACAAGAGGCAGGTTCGATCCTGGGTGAGGAAGATTCCCTGGAGAAGGACATGGCAACTCACGCCAGTACTCTTGCCTGGAAAATCCCATAGACAGAGGAGCCTGGCAGGTTACAGTCCCTGGGGTCGCAAAGAGCCAACCACAACTGAACAAGAGGCGCAGAAATACACGGGGAATAAGACGGCAGCAAGGACCAGCAGTGGTTATACCAAATGATGGTGCTGAGCCATAAAGGAGAGAAACTTTCTTACCAGGGGAGGTTAGCAACCAATGACCACACTCAACTGCAAGGTGCAAATTGAAGGATGAGTAGGAAGGTTTTTTTCCAGGCAGTCAAGAAAGAGGGACATATTCCAGCCATCGGAAATGTGTGTAAAGACACAGAGACATGAAAATAAGAAACAGTCTAGGAGAAGGCAAGTAGATAAGCATGTTAGAACACAGGGAATATATGAAGAAGTGTTAGGACAAGAGGTTTAAAAAACTGGAAGGGATTTATTTAATTATGGCCTTAGGGTGTCATGCTAAGGAGATGGGTATGAGGTCAATCTGTCGATAAAAATCTAGTCAGCCTACTGATTTCCAGAGTTGATTTGCTAACAATTTCAACTCTGACCTAGAAGGGAAGAGGAACTAACAGAGGATGCTGAGAAGAATGATACGGTAGCTGGCGTGAGAAAGGAACACAGAAACGTTCAGATTCAAGGAATTCAATAAATAACCTGCTGCTTCCTGCCTAAGTCTGAATGGTTTGAGAAATGAACAACATCTGCACAAAAATCAAAATACCATCTTTTTTGCAGATGAATCTGATATTGAAGAATGTAGCTTTGGGACTTCTGGCGGTCCAATGGCTAAGACTCTGCACTCCCAATGCAGGGGACCTGGGTTAGAACCCTGGCCGGGGAACTGGATCCCACATGCCACAACTAGGCGTTTGCATACCACAGCTAAAGAGCCCACATGCTGCAATGAAGATGGAAGATTCTGCATGCTGCAGCTAAGACCTGGCACAGCCAAATAAATAAATTTTTAAAAAAGAATGTCGCTTATATCTAATCAGGACAGCTTGATTCATGTGCCAGTCATAATGGCCAGGGGATGAAATTACTCTGATTAACAAGGCCAAGGTCCTGGCCCAATTGGACTGAAAGAGAGATAGGCCTGCACGTGTGTCTTCAGTTGTGTCTGATCCTTTGTGATCCTGTGGACTGTAGCCCACCAGCTTCTTCTGTCCACGAGATTTTCTGGGCAAGAATACTAGAATGTGTTGCCATGCCCTCCTCCAGGGGATATTCCCAACCTAGGGATCGAACCCACATCTCTTATATCTCCTGCCTTGGCAGGCGGGTTCTTTACCACTAGCATCCCCTGGAAAGCCCCAAGAGATAGGCATTCTCCTTCGGAAATTTGAGGTACTGTTACCAAAAAAGAGAAGGATGGATTGTAGGCAGCAAAACAATCACATTTGTTCTATACTTTGTGTGTGTGTTTGTTTAAAGATCCATAAGCTGCGATGAGAAAAGGTTGAAAGAATTTTGATGCTGCTTTGACCAAATCCCTTTCTCTTTCTGAATCTCAAGTGCTTTCCCTCCATAACAAAGCACTATAAAATAAGACCTCCTGGCCCATTCCTTGCCTCAGGAATGCTGGGCTCATAAATGAGATCATGTCTGTAAAGCTCTATGATCTTCTTGAAGACTAATGCTATATAAATATATAGGGTTATTAGCCAAGTTGCTCACAAACAAGTCTATGCAAGAGTGCATTGAAAGGCAAATAAGACTGGGGGAGGGCAATAGTGAAACAGCAAGACACTACAGTACTTTCCCCCATGTCCTCCTCCTGCTTTTGTCTGTGGAAAACTTTACTCAAAGAATAAGTTTAATCAGAGAAAGGATAAATGCAGTAACAAAGGAAAGCAGTCAAAGGAGACCAAATTGTAATAGTATACTCATTAAGCATAGTCAAGGACCTTTAGTTCCTTTTCAAGGGCCATAGATAATATTCTGAGTCATATCCTATGAGCCAACTTATAGATACTGAAGCCCCACTGGTGGGAGAAGTTAACTGCATGATGACCAGACTGTAACCATGACATGGGCAGCCACAATTCCGAGAACTGGAAACAAAGCAACCCTGGAACTGAAGATTAACTGTACCTAAAACAACCAAGATGACGCTTGTCAGACCAGCACATGACCAACTTCCAGATGACTGTCAGAGCTGACTGTGCCGTTTCTGCATGTAGCCCCCTCTCTCTGTCTATAAAATTTCTCATCCCCTGTTTGTTGGTGTGTGTGTGCTGGGGTGGGGAGTTGGCCTTTGGAAGATGTCCGACCTCCCCCGCAGTTGCCATCATCTGAAATAAAGCAAACTTTTCTTTCTACCAACATGGCATGTTCACTGGCTTTTGAGCGCTGAACAACCAGACCCCACCTTTCGGTAACAATAGAACTCATTGTTTTCAAGGGCCATTTGATTCTTTTGTTTCTATGATATCCAGTGTCTCACAATTAACTTCCTCCCAACACCCACAGACTACCAAGAGGGCCAGATTGCCAATTTAGGCTCCCTGGCACGCATGCTTCCTTAGTCACTTCAGTTATATCCAACTCTTTGTGACTGTATGGCCTGTAGGCTGCCAGGCTGCTGTGTCCATGGGATTCTCCAGGCAAGAATACTGGAGTGGGTTTTCATGCCCTCCTCCAAGGGATCTTCCCCGCCCAGGGACCAAAGCTGTGTCTCCTGCATTGGAGGCCGATTCTTTACTGCTGAGCCACTGAGGAAGCCCAGGCTCCCTGGAATGATGGATTAAAACATTTGGAGAGCAAAGCCAGTAAAATGCCAAGCTATGGCCATGTTGGAGTTTTTTTAGAAAGATAACTAAAAGGGAATCCTGTTTGGGTTCTAAATACTGACGGTGTTTGATCTCCAGTGGCCTCAGCCTGCAATGGCTTGGAGCGAGGCTTGGATTCCCAGCCAGAGATTGCGGCTGGATCGCAGCAGTGAAAGCATTAGATCCTAGCCACTAGACCAGTGGTCAGTGACAAGAGCCCTAAACCTTTGGTTTTGCATAAAAGGATTTCCACAAAGTCAGAAAGTGGTGAAGCAAGTAAAGTATTTATTAGGAGAGAACAAAGTACAGTATGTGTGGATAGACACATTGGTGGACTCAGAGGGAGAGTCCCTGAGCGGAAGCCTCTTGGTGGTTTGAATTACTTTTATGAGGTGTTTCTTCTAGGTTTCCTTTGGCCAATTATTACGATTGCCTGGTTCACAGTCCATATCTGGTATATCTCAGGGTCTTCCCATGTGTGCTCATGAGTCTCTTAGCCAAGTTGAATTTTACTGAAAAGGCATCTGAGTAGAATATCCCTTGACATGACTCCCCTTTGGCCTCCAAGGAGCCTTTCTGCACATGTGTGGTAGGGGAGGTCTCCTGACTTCCGGAAGGAGAAATATGTTGTCTGAGAAGGGCCCAGTCACATCCCTTGATTGCCCTGCTATTCTTAGAGTTTCAATTAATAGAGAACGATTCTCTAACTGCTTTACCGTGGGGGGGTGGGGTGCCCATCTGCCTACTGCCTCAGCTTTCACTGACTGAGTGACTGAACTGAACTGAACTGAATCCATTCATCAAGATTCCCACATGCACAGTTTTTTTTTTTTTTTAATCTGGAGTTCAATTTGTTTTAATTTTTATTTTTTTGGCCAACATGCGGGATCTTAGTTCTTAGACCAGGGATCGAACTCTGCCCCCTGCATTAGCGGCCCAGAGTCTTAACCACTGGGCTGCTAGGGAAATCTCTGGAGTTCAGTTTAAAAAGGAAAGAGTTCTTCTACCTTATATTAGATTTCATAAGAAGGAGGAAGAGGAGATGGAGGATGGAGAAAAGGGAAAGAGGAAGGGAAGACTTTGTTTCTGGCCTTCTCTTCTGCCTCTTTGAAACCATGGATTTCAGACCTTAGAGGTCAACCTAGCTGCCTCTCCACTTAATTTGTTTAGTTACATACGGATGGTGAAGACCAAGGAAGTAAACTAAATTTTTCTAAGCTTATGTGTTCATTTAGTAGGATAGCAGGGGCTGGGGTCCAGGTTTCTACCTCCCAGTTTAGTACTCTTCATATTAAATCACCCTGTTTCCTTTCCAGTTTAGGAACTTGAATATGTCATGTTGCCTCTAAGATCTTAGCTGTCTGATCTATAGAATGCACATGGAACCTAATCTGACTAAAGATGGCTAGAAAATATGATTTCTTGTGGTAACTTCCAGTTTTTAATCAACCAATCAACAAATATTTTTAAAGACCTAATGGCAAGTAATGAAGTATCTAGCCAGAAGTAATGTAAACAAAAAGACTTATTATCCTCCCATAACAAGAAGTCAGAGGTATATCCAGTGGCTGGTATTAGTTTAGTGATTTAATGATGCTGTGATGGACCTAGGCAACTCTCTCTTTCTAGTTCCTCATGTGTAGTTTCGGCTTCTTAGCTGCATCAGTGTTGCCTCATGGTTGCTAGATGGCTTCTGCAATCCAGACATCACACTGCTTTTCATACTTTCACTTCATCCTTTCAAAATACAAAATACAAACATGTGATGAGGTACTTTGACTTTGTGACCATGTTACCTGTGGTTCTTTTGTAGAGTATCAAATTGAGGAAAATCATTCCCTTCAGAATTGATTAAAGTTTTTTTGTTTAAAATATGAATGAGTGTGAAACTCTGTCAAAGGTTTTATTCTACATTGATTGAGATCACATGACTCATATGAATTATTTCTCTTATTGAGTTTATGTAGTCAATAACAGGGATCAATTTAAAATGTTGAATCAGCCTTGCATTTCTGGGGGAAAAAATCTCATTTGGTTAAGCTAGCTTACTTTTTAAAAATATTGCTGGGCTTGAACTGCCAATATTTTGTTAGAAAAAAGGATGTTGATGTTCCTGTAATTTTTGTTCTTTTTTAATCTCTTGGAGTGAGGATTACTCTGACCTTATATTGTGAATTAAGAAGTATTCCCTTCTTTAAATTTTTTGAAAAAGTTTATATAAGATTGGTATGATTTCTTTCTAAAATAGTTGATAAAATTTACTAGTGAAACAATCCGGGAACCAAAAAAGATACAGGGCTATTCAGATGATTTTTTCTCATGTCAGTTTTGAGAAATTGTGTTTTTCTAAGTTTTCCCATCCCATCTAAATTATTGAAATTAACAGCATGAAGTTGTTCATAATGTTTTCTTATTATTAAAAAAAATTTTTGTAGATTCTGTAAGGAAGTTCTTCTATTCTCCATTTTGATTATTTGGGTTTTCTTTCTTTTTTTCCCAATCAGTCTCACTAGGAGTTTATTAATATTTCCAAAGAACCAAATTGTGGCTTTGCTAATTTTGTTTAACCTATTTTTAAAAACTTCTTCCACTTGCTGTGGTTTAAATTTTCCTTTCTTATCCTAAATTCTTAAGATGAAACTTAGATAATTGATTTCAAACTTTTTCCCTTTACTAAAATAAGAGTTTAAAACTATAAATATCTCAGTGAGTACTGCTTTAGCTGCATTACATGAATTTTGATGTATTGTATTTTCATTTCTATTCTATTTGAAGTTTTTTTTAAAGTCACTCATTTTTTTTTCTTAAATCTTTTTTTGGCTGTGCTTCACAGCATGTGAGATCTTAGTTCCCCTACCAAGGATGGAACCCAAGCCCTCTGCATTGCAATGTGGATTCTTAACCACTTCACTACCAGGGAAGACTCTGAAATGTTTTCTAATGCTCTGAGAACTGTGGCAGGCATAAAGTATTCAGTAAGAGTTGGCTCCTATTAACTTAGTTTTTTGTTTCTCCTGTTAATAAGCGAGAATAAGTCCATGGCTCACCTGACAATTGTGTTTCTCCCTTCTTCAGAGCGTCTTTGCTGTATCCACTGCCTGAAGCACTACTACTTCATATAGGCCCAGACTTCATCCCTCTTATCATTAATTCCTACTCATCTTGAAGGTGTGACCTCAAACATCATTTCCTCAAAGAAACTGTCCCAGATGACCAAAACAGGGCTGGTCCTCTCATGTACTGGGTTGAATAGTGTCCCCCAAAAGTTCATGTCAACCTGGAATTTATGGACATGACCTTATTTGGTACTACACTTGATCTTAGCCAAAAGGCCGAGAAGCGATGGACATGACCTTATTTGGAAATAGGATCTTTGCAGATATAATCATGTTGAGAAGAGATTTAGGGACTTCCCTGGGGGTCCAGGGGTCAAGACTTTGCCTTCCAGTGCAGGGGATATGGGTTACATTCCTGGTCAGGGAGCTAAGATCCCACACTGCTTTGTGGCCAAAAAGCCAAAAGGTAAAACAGAAGCAATGTGGTAACAAATCCAATAAAGACTTAAGAAGAAAACAAATGAAGAGACTATATTGGATTGGTTGGGGTAGGGGAGGGGAAAGAGGGGCTAAACCCAATATGACTGCTGTCCTTTTAAGAAGAGGGGAGTTTGGAGAGACACACAGGAGAACTTCATGTGACAACAAAGACAGAGATGGGAGTGATGCTTCTACAAATGCTGAAGACTGTGAACAATAACCAGAAGCTAAGAAAGCGCAAGGACGGATCATCTCCTATTCTCTTCACAGAGAGCATGGCCCTGCCAGCACCTTGACTTCAGACTGTGAGCCTCCAAAGCTGTGAAAGAATACATTTCTATCATTTTAAGCCACCCAGGTGGGGTAACTTGTTATGATAGTTCTAAGAAACTAGTGAACCATGTTCTATGTTTCATCCTTTACACTTTTCCTTCCTAGCTCTTATCAGATTATTGTTGTTTATGAATTATCAAGAACTAGTTTTAAATTTTTTATTTTATTTTATTTACCTATTTGGCTGTGTCGGGCTTTAGTCACAGCCTGTAGAATCTTTGTTGGGGCACATGGGCTTCTCTCTAATCGCAGCAAGAGGTCTTGGTTGTCCCCCAGCACATGGGATCTTAGTTCCCTGCCCAGGGATCAAACCCGAGTCCCCTGCATTGGAAGGCCAACCACTGAACCACCAGGGAAGCCCCATCAATAAAGACTTAAGAAGAAAACAAATGAAGAGACTATATTGGATTGGTTGGGGTAGGGGAGGGGAAAGAGGGGCTAAACCCAATATGACTGCTGTCCTTTTAAGAAGAGGGGAGTTTGGAGAGACACACAGGAGAACTTCATGTGACAACAAAGACAGAGATGGGAGTGATGCTTCTACAAATGCTGAAGACTATGAGCAATAACCAGAAGCTAAGAAAGCACAAGGACGGATCATTTCCTATTCTCTTCACAGAGAGCATGGCCCTGCCAGCACCTTGACTTCAGACTGTGAGCCTCCAAAGCTGTGAAAGAATACATTTCTATCATTTTAAGCCACCCAGGTGGGGTAACTTGTTATGATAGTTCTAAGAAACTAGTGAACCATGTTCTATGTTTCATCCTTTACACTTTTCCTTCCTAGCTCTTATCAGATTATTGTTGTTTATGAATTATCAAGAACTAGTTTTAAATTTTTTATTTTATTTTATTTACCTATTTGGCTGTGTCGGGCTTTAGTCACAGCCTGTAGAATCTTTGTTGGGGCACATGGGCTTCTCTCTAATTGCAGCAAGAGGTCTTGGTTGTCCCCCAGCACATGGGATCTTAGTTCCCTGCCCAGGGATCAAACCCGAGTCCCCTGCATTGGAAGGCCAACCACTGAACCACCAGGGAAGCCCCATCAACAAGTATTGATGATGTGATAATACTATTCTGGCTTTTAGTAGAGGCCTTCTTAAGAGAGAGACTACTGTAATAAGAACCAGTATCTCAAACTGTAAGGACTTTGAAAGGCACATAATTTTGAGGGGGCCTGACCCTAAAATCACAGCATGTTCGTGACCAACTACCTCAGCTTCTTAAAACAAATCTTAGGTAGAAGCCACAGAGGTTTCTAATGTGTAGTCTGTCCACACCGGTCATTTTTTAAAATAACAACCAATTGCCATAAAAGGGCACTGACGGAGGAGTCAGAACACCTGGTTTTGTTTCCCCCTCTGCCTCAGGGCCTTTGGGCAGGACATCCAATCTCTCAGGGTTCCACATTCCTCAACAGAAAAAGGAGGAGGTTTCGTCTAGACTGTAACTATGGCCCCTTTGTTGGAACATTCTGTGGCTTTATGATTCTAGTATGGAGTAACAATTAAAACTTCTAAAGTAACTTCTAAAGCACAAGCCTCCTTGGTCACTGCTAGCCTTCTTCCATGAACAGTATCCAAATCCAGGAATGAAACATTACAAGATTTAACTGAAGCAGGTGCTGGACCAAGGATTCTGCTTAAAATATATAGCTACTAGTTTTGTCTAAGCTTCTTTTACTTGACACAATTAATGAGTAGACATTCCTAGGACTCTCATTTTAAGAAATATATTAAAGTGGCTGAAGCTCCAATACTTTGGCCACCTGATGCAAAGAGCCGACTCATTAGAAAAGGCCCTGATGCTGGGAAAGACTGAAGGCAGGAGGAGAAGCGGCTGACAGAGGATGAGATGATTTGATGACAACACCGACTCAATGGACTTGAGTTTGATCAAGTTTCAGGAGATAGCGAAGAATAGGGAAGCCTGGAGTGCTGCAGTTTATGGGGTCACAAAAAGTCAGATGCGACTGAGCGACTAAACAATAACAATAATAACAAATTAAAGTGGCTAGGCTGCCTGGTCCCTTCCTGTCTCTGGGTAGCAGGGAAACCACTTTTTTTTTTTTTTTTCCATTTTCAAAATGTGCCTATGGGAAGGAGGGAAAGGAGAGGCCCAGTGAATTCAGCCCCACATCTCCCTTTGTGGTACCTGTTAAGCCAGTGCATTAGCAGGAAGGAGAAAGGATAATAGGGTTAGTAATTGGCAGGGCTGTCCAACTACAACTCCTCTCTCTCTCCCACCACTTGGCCCTGCCCAATTTATCTCTTCCATAGCCCCTTGATGCCTCATCTCTTCTCCAAACTTTTTAAAAGTTGCCCCCTGTATCTGGTGGCTTGTTATGTAAGGATATTCATCAAAGCTCCAACCTGAATGTTCTTCCACTTGTTAAATCAATATTAAAACAAGAAAGAACCCCTAGTTTAAAGCATCTGCCTTGCCATTCCCCCAGCTGGAGGGCCACCGCCAATGGTAAGTGGTGAGGGAAAAGTATAATTAAAACTTAACTTTCAAAAAGATCTCATAGTTTATGCTCAGTAAGAAGCNCTTTTCGTGTTGCCACTTTCACTTTTGACATTCTGTGCTCGCAGCAGACTCCGCGTAGTTCCGCGGATGCCAGTCACCGCGTACAGGCCCCACCCCCCAGGCGCAAGCCCCGCCCCTCGGCGTGCGCGCTCCCGGTGACGTGACTCGGGTCGCGGAGGAGCGGCGGGCCCGCTACCGGAAAGGAGCGGAGCTCCTGGGAAGCTATCCCGCCCCCGGGAAGTCGTGTCGGCGTTGCCAGCACCGCCTCGCCGCGGTGGCCGTGATGCGCTCCACCCGCGAGTCCCCACTCCTGGGACCCCCGGCCGTCGAGTCGGACGTAGCCGAGCAGGTGAGGCGGCTTTTCTGGCGCGGATGTGGGGGAGGGTGGGCGGCCGAAGGGGGGACAGTTGGAGCGCGGCCCGACGGGGCGGCGAGGCCGCGGACCTGCGGCTCTGCCCCGGGGGCCTTCCCCGCGCCAGTGCCTCCGCACCGCTCGGCCGCCTCCGGGCGCCCGCAGTCAGCGCCCGTGACCCTGGGCTGCAGGTGCTTCCCCCCCGCCCCCCGCCAGCCCCTGGCGGGAGAAAGCTGGCAATCGTTCTGTTGCGCCCGCTCCAGTGACCGCGCTGATTTCCCCTCCGACACGTAGTGGGCGCGGGTTGGCCCGCACTGGGGAGGGTACCTGGCTGGGGAGAAGGATGCTGCACTCAGGACCCTGCGGGTCTTACATGCCTCCTGGTCACGACATTTACAAGTCAGCATCGTTTTTGCTTTGCTCTGCTTTTATCACGATTCATGCTTTAGATTTCTCTAAAATCTAAATCTAAGTAGCTTCATTGAGAAAATAGAGCTAATTGGGCGATAAAGTGATGGTAAGACCTATGTTTCTCAAACTTGAGTAATGCGTGAACACCTTTAAAAGGGACAGTTCGCTTATTCTCTGGAGTTTGTCTTAGAACCCGCAGGGTTCCTCAAGACCCCAGTTAGAGTAACAACAGTGTGAAGCGTTTTCAGAGAACATTTGTCACTAGTAGGAAAGTAAAGAGACGCCTTACAATTTAGGAACTTCCATGCTAGAAGATACACTAGGTTATTAAAGAACTCTAAATGAGAGACTCAAATCCCTAGTTTAATGTCATATTGGAGTCTTTAGTGTGTTCTGTTTTGTGTAATGAAAATAATTTCTAGGCTTGGAGAGGCTGAAGAGAATCATAGTCTTTGTGTTATCTTACATTTAATGTTATCATGTCTTGGTATCAGGTCTGTTCATTCTGTTTGACACATTAGCAAAATTATTAAATGGAGCATTAATTTGTCTAAGTAGTTTGTTGATTTCATTGGCCACCTTAATATTGATTTATCACTTGTATTTGTTGCATTTTGAATCTATGGTTTACATTCTTCCAAGCTACACAGGGAAGTTGTTGACCCGTAAGCTCTGGGAGAGTCTTGAGCTGGTCATACTGTGAAGGTAGTGTTTTACAAAGAAGTGTTTCCAAAAAAAGGCATTCCACGTAGAGATCTGTCTTGAGCTAGTAGTGTCTGCTGTGGTCATTTTAGATGTGTGGACTATTTGAGGAAGAATTGGCAGGACCTGATGACCGACATAAACTTAGAACATACAGATAGTTGGGGATCAGAGTTGAGAACCAGGTAACCCCAATTCATGGTGATACCATACATTCTTCTTAACAAATCAAGTTGTTTTGATGTATTTTTCCCACAACTGAGTGCCATTCCACATCCTTCACTTTGGCCTCTCACTCTCACTGACATGGTCATTCCTTACAGAATTCTGCCTGTTGATGATCTTCTGATTTTTCCAAGCCCTTTTGTAATCCTTTCCTACTCATATCATTCTTTTTTGCAGCACTCTCGTGTCATCTTAACCTCTTACTCAGAGGTCTAGCTCTTCCGGAGTCTCATTTGTCTGCAGTTTTGTTTGCCTGTGATTTCAGTATTTGCTAATAACTGTATCACTGCATCCTGCATTTTTCACCATGGGAGCCATTTCACTTTGCAGTTGACTGGTGTTGGTTTCACTGTTTCCTTTAGGACTGTTAGAGAGAGACTGCAAAGAGAAAGACTTTGACTCAGGACCTAGTGTACCTCATTCTGTTAAAAAATGTTCAGCTGAACGGGACCCCATCAGCTGAAATCATGCGAGTTAATGCATCTCTTTGGGGATAGGTCTCACACAGCTTAGGCCTTTGAAAAACATGGCAGTTTTTTGTAATATTGCTGAGTTTGCCTTCCTAAACTGTGGTGCCAAGATTCTTAGCTGAAAATCCAACTAGAGTTTACATTTGAAGATCACATTACCATATTGTTGCCTCCTGGCTAATACTAAATAAATATCGTCCTAAATAACCGTAATTATTTCAGCAACTTACAAGCTGTCCTATTTTCTCTCTGTCTTTAAACACAAATTTTGTGATTTACAAGGATATCTTTTTATCCTCATGGTTATCACATATTTGGGGAAAAAAAAGTCCTAAGACAAACACCAGATTAAATAACATTTCCTACATTTGCTGTGGTGCATCCTTACAGCACATTTCTCTTTTGAAATGTCCTCTCTTTTCTCCTTCCCTCTTTGTGTGAGCGTGTTTAATAGTCACATCGTAGTCCATTGCATACATGAACCGTGTTTAATGCAGCCCACCCCCAAAAGGCACTTTTGGCACTCAGTAACAGTGTTTTGCTATTCCAAATAATACTATGATGAACATCTTTATATGTGTTTTAGTGAATTTATCTTATTATTTCCTGAAGACAAATTGCTGTGACGGGTAGAGCAGAGGGGAAGCATGTTTAATA